TTACCTGAGTGGCCTGAGCTTCGAGATGAAGTAGAACTCACCCCCCCTCTCATATGGTCCTTCTGACCCCTTTAACGCTACCCCTACACTAGTGTCCTATCTACTAGGAGGGTCTGACTCCAACACCAAAGTACAACGCCAGATCCCCCGCCGTTGTCGAAGATCAAACTAGCAATTTGTAGTCCGCCATTGCAGAATGGCTACTTCCCTCAAGCTCGCCTACTTGAGGGAAGCCCTAAAGTCGCCAAGTGTCTCCGTTACGTCAGATTCCAGGTCTGAGTGCCTCTCACTGCCGCCTCTCCCAAATTGTCGCACGAAGTCTTCTTGAAGTGTCTCGCTACTCCAACTGGCTCTCAAGCAACCTGGTCAGGTCCAGTGTTGACCCAACACGACCTAACCAGGTGGGGGCAGCTTCCCTATACCACACTGCCCTAGTTCCCTCAACTTGGCCAACCCTAATCCTAAGTGGTGCCGGCAACCACTTAGTTTAGGGTTCGGGCAGCAAAGTCAACTCTCGCCAGCCAGTAGAAACCGCTCTGATACCAATGTTACAATCCTAGCCAATTTCGATGTGCAAAATCACGAGAAAGAACAATGTCGTCCCAAGTGCAAAAAGAAATGAATAAACTTGAGAGGAGAGAGAGGGGAAGAAGAAGAAGAAGAAGAAGAAGAAGAAGAAGAAGAAGAAAGAAAGAAAGAAAGAAAGAAGACGAAGAAGAAGATGTACACCAGCGAAGACCAATGATAATTCCCCCTTCTTCTCGCCAACTGAACTACTCCTTTTCTCCTCCGCTCTTATTCAAACAATAAATAATAATAATGATGATGAATGGCAGAACCAGAATCAATGTCTGAATCCCTCTTTTACTGCCAGCACAACTTGAGGTCCACCATAGCCATGGTCGCCCTTCTCCTTCCCCTTCCTTAGGTCGGGGCTATACTAAGGGCCTTGCCCTGACGTGCAAAAGACAACGCAAAGCAGCTATGGCCACTTCCACTCAGGCCGCCATGCCTGACTCTGCCTCGAAGCTTCTTGGTGCAGCTCTACCCCAATGGGGACCCTTCCAGATGCAGCACCCACCAAGGTGATGAAGCTGGCATCCACCATAGCCAGGTAAGTACCCCTGACGCTCCCCACTCCTAGTCCCTTCTTCCTCCTCCTCCTGCCCGAGCTCCTCCACCATAGCCAAGGTGGAGAGCTGGGCGCTCCTCCTTTCCCAGCAGCGCTGCTCCAGACCAGCACTGCTCCACCACGCACTCCAGCAGTGTGTCGCCCAAACTTGCACGCAGGAAATGAGGAAGAGCTTCTGGCTCTCCCTGGAGATATAGTGACACAGCAGCCTCCTTGGGCGGTGACTTCCAGGCCGCGCGCCCTCCGAGCAACCGGTAACTCCTCCCTTTCGGAGGGAAACATCATTGCAGGCTCTGATATCTTCCGCACAGGCCCTAGACTGCAGGCTACTTGGACTGCTGCCCGCCTAGACCTAGCCTACAGCTACTGGGCCTCTACAAATGCCAACTTTTGCCTTCTGCTCGGCCTCCAGTCCCCGACACATCTACCCCTACTTTGGGTGGTACCAGCCTACCTGCTACTTGCGTGTTTTTCCCCACTGCTCTAAGTGTTGCGAGCCTACTCCTGCTACTTGATTGTTTTCCCCGCTGCAACCCTCAAAGTCGCAGCCACATGTGTACCGGCCCTGCGGGGCCTCGCAAACAAACAAGTGCCCATGCAGCTCACACACACACTCAAGCCGACAAGCACTCAGACAGGCACACGGATCAGCAAGCAAGCAAGCAAACACACAGACTTAGAGAACTCAGCGGAAAGCGGGAATCTCAGCAAGGCATTCATTCTAACGCCAAAACTCAGATATCAGCTGTGTTCTCAGTCCGTGTTTGGGCAGGTCATTACACTTGTTGTTTCTTTCGTTTTTTTCTGATCATTGCATTGTTGCTGAGTCAGGGTATACTCACACTAGAACCTTTTTTTTTGTTACTTATTTCCGGATGTAATCGAGGTCAGATACGTCCTGGCACAGCCGTAAATGTGGTCAGGTACATTTAAGATAGTGCTAGAGAGAGTATGCCCTCGGTACAGGTTCAGGAGAGCACAATGTGCTTGTGAATTTTATTTCAGCTTTACAGTATCTTTGCAGCCAGCTTTAAACAAATGCGGAGTGAGTATGCCCTCGGTGCTGGTTGTGGAGAGCACAATGTGCTGCTTGTGATTTGAATTTCGGTTTTACGGCATCTCTGCAACCAGTTCACCCAGGCGTGGAGGGGCTGCACTGTGCGCCAAGCCACACTTTTCCGAACCGCCAGAGTGCACTTTGTTTCTTTTTTGGCTGGTGCCGCCAGCCATTGTGGTCCAGTAGCCCGAGCTGCGAAAACTTTGGAGTCGGCAACTCGTGATAACGCACCCTGACCAGCCAACCCATCGGCGTGGTGGCCTCACCTTCCCCCTAAGAGTTGAATCCCCGACACCTCCACAACCCTTTATATAAAAAGATAACGCAACCTGATCATGAGCGTATACAAGTAATCATTCCAGTCCAGTACAGTCGAGATGAAGGTGTGTTGTATTCGGGGGAAGATGGACCCGCGTCCTAATGCACCTGGGCAGCTCTCCTGCTCCAGGTAAAGAGCATGCACTTGGGCAACCACACGTCCAGGTGCATTCTGACCCAGCAAGCTTTGCATTAGCAAGCTTGAGCAACAGCACGGCCCCGCAGTCGTTGCACCAGGATAAGTTGAGATGTGAGCCAATCAATTGATTGGACTCCGGACAACTGACTTCTGGCCTGATGATTTAACTGACGATGATGGGACTGATGATTGGACGATAACTGAGCTGATGATTGGATTGACGATTGGACGGCTGATTGGAGGGATGATTGGACAGACGATTGAACTGATGATAGGACTCTTGATTGGCTGATGATTGGACCCGTGATTGGCTGATGATTTGACTGACGATGGGACGAATTATTGGACTCTGGACAACTGACTGGGCTGATGATTTAACTGATGATGGGACGGATGATTGGACGATAATTGAGCTGATAATTGGATTGATGATTAGACGGATGATTGGAAGGATGATTGGACGGATGATTGAACTGATGATAGGACTCAGGATTGGCTGATGATTGGACTCGTGATTGGCTGACGATTGGACTGGACTGATGATTGGATTGGATTGATGATTGGGTTGGACTGATGATTGAATTGAATGGATGATCGGATGGACGATTGGACAGAGGATTGGTCTAAAGATTCGACTGATGATTGAACTGATGATTGAATTGGACTGATTATTGGACTAACAATCAATTTTTTGTGGACGACAGATGTGCGTGCATGATTGTCAGTTGTGCAGATGACAGATGCGCATGAATAGATTGAAGGATAGTTTCAGATGGATAATAATGGGCCTCGCCGCACCACTCACCAAACGTGAAAAAGGCAAAAATATGGCAGGTGCACCCAGTGCCCGTTGTAGCGGAAGATTCATTCTCATTATGCACATCGGTGAGTGGTGAGCAATGCCCCCGATCATGCACATCAGGCGCCACAGCGACTGTGTTATGATTCT